AGTGGCGAAAGTCAGCTCTTCTGAAATCAAGACTCTAATTTCTTAGAACACAAAAAACCCTAAAGAGTACATTATTCTACTACATCTCAGACAACTTCAATACAAAGTTTTTGAAGTGTTTAGTATGCTAAGCTTTCTTCTACTTAGTTCTACCCTAAAAACAAAATCAGAGACACGTCTCTAGCTTTCTTGATTCACCATTATTTAGTAGGCATCCACAGCAATTCTCCTAATCTTGTTTCATTTTGGTTTTTTTAAATATCTATAACAACATTCAGGCAATAGTTTGGGAAGAGAATAGTGACTTCCATTCCACACCCGATAACATTGGAAACTGAAGTTTCTAACCACAATCTATGCTTTTGAGGCAATGCTGCAAGTATTTTGTTAAGGATCCATATAATTGCATTCACCCAAATTCTGACCTTTCCCAGAATTTTCTTCTGTTTTCAGAGGAAACCCTTCTCTGACTACTCACATCAACAATTAGGTTTTAGGGCACAACCTGGTTGTTAATGATCCTGGCCATATCAAAGCACACCACTATATCCACTACTTCATGCCCCGTTCTACTTAGGTAATAAATACAACTCATTAAAAAAAAATAAAATTAGGACCACTAGAGGATATTTCAAACAGCAAAAAACACTAAAGTTTAACACAAGCATGCAGGAGGCTTATAGCTCCTCACTTTCCAAGCACAGTTCTTCACAGTCCCCATCAATGCACTTGCCACCAGGGACCAGCAGGACTTAAGCCGTCCCCCCTTATCAACGCCCCATGAACACAGTCTGCGTGAGTGCGTCTGGAGAAGGGCACCAACTTCCCCAACTCTCCTGTCTGCCATAACAAAAGCAGCAAAACTAGCCAAGTCCTTCAGTATTACAGCATCATATATGGCTTAAAAAAACCCAAAACACACCCTACAGACCTTTACCAAGTCTAGCTTGAAAATAAAGCCTGCAAATAAAAGATTACATTATTCCACCTTTCTATACATGTTTTTTGATTCTTGTTCTGAGCAACATGTACTTTATTTGCACTTGAGAAATCCGTTACTTCTGCAAAAGTAAAGAGAATGCATTTGCCACAGGGCACCAATCTGCCAAAGAGAAAGTCCAGGTTCACGCTAGGATTGACTGGTGCTGTGTAATAGCTGAGAAACATGCAGAATGACAGCCACGTCGCCATCATCGCAAGCAGGATGTTCAGATAAAAGCTAGTGGATAAAAGGCCAAAGTGGTATGAAAGCACAAAGAAGCAACACTTCACAGAAACACACTTAGCTCTCTAAAAGTTAAATTGTATGTGTCTCAAGCACTTTTATCACTTAAGCAAAACAGATCTTTTTTTTATTCAAATTAGTTAATTCTTGTGTCACGACACAACTGAGTTTCAAACCAGTCATCAGGTAGACAAAACATGTTCTAAATTATTATTATTTGTAATTTATGGGAAATTTCAGTTCTACTGAGGATAAGACTGGAATAAATGTCTGTGCTTTCACCTGAATGCATCTATTGTGAACTCAAAGGGTAAAGGTACTGCCTGTGATCTCTCAGCCAGCAGAGGTGATGTTGAGGGAAGATACCTTTAACCAAGGTACTGGCTAAGTGAAGTCTCACAAAGGCACGGTGGCATATCAGAAACACTAACAAGGATGCCAACAGAGTCTCAGGTGAGTCTTGCAAAATCCCATTCATGTGACTAAGCACGACAATCTGGAAACCTTTGTGTGCTGTACAGAAACTACCCAAAAAGAGCCTGAGTCAAGCAAGTTTAAGTAGTGCAAGGTTGCAAAACTGAATTTCATAAAGCATGTGCTAGAGCTGACTGCTTTACGTATACTGCTCTGAAGTACCACCCTCAGTTCCCCCCATCTCGCCTCTCCTACCCAGTGTAGCAGCAGTCCATCCTGCAAAGACTTCTTGCTTACTCTCATGACGCTGCAGAGACGTTATTTTCAACTCTAGTGCCATCTACTGCTGCAAATCTCTAAGAAAGCACTAAACAGGATGGCAAAAGAGATTTATTAAGAAAGCACTAAACAGGATGGCAAAAGAGATTTATGTTTTCTTACTGAAGGCTGAGCAAGCATCTGGTCAAAGGCTTGAGAAACAAAAACTGAATTAATTTCCTAGAGCTGATTTGTGCATCTAGACAGGACTTTAAATGCACAGTCCAAGCTTTTCTGGTTTTCTGTAGAAAGGTGCAAAGCACACATTAATTAAGCTTGCAAAAGTAATGTCGCCTCCAAAGAATGGCCAAATAAAGCAAAATGAATTTGCTTTCTAAAGATTTTTTGTTGTTTACTCTACAGAATATAAGTCAGTAATCAGCATCCTGAGAAGTCAGCAAGAACCCACGCCAAGTAGTCTCAGGAGATACAAACTTTAGTTTATCAGTAAATTTACAAGTACTGAACAGCTTTGTTTTGTTTGGGTTTTTTCTGAATGTAAATAATCTATGTACACTGCAAAACATTTTAAAAAAATCAGTTGCAGTTGCCTCAAATAAAAGTGCCTGAGAAGCACAGAATTTACTTTTTAGAGCCCAGTTCAAGCACCCAATGTGTGATGTAAGAAGAAAGAGCCCTTACCCCAGTCCTGTTCATACAAGGCTTGGGAAAGGCACCATGATTCACTTATTGGCATGTGTGGATGCACAAAAACAAGATGCTCTGTGAGACTTCAACATAATGTACTTCTAACTACAAAAAAAATGAATTTAACTGGGAAGACCAAGTTACAGTTTACACCATACATACAAAATAAGCATACACAGATTTTCACTATTAAAGGACACAAAAATGCATTAAGTCAAACACTGGAGCGTTTCACTAAAGTCACTGAATTACAAAGAAAAAAGCCAGACACATAACTCCAGGCAAGTTAAAAATAAGAAGTGGTAGCACCATGAAAGTAAATTCCAATTATATGTTTATTTTGCCATAACATCCATTAAATTGACATTTCTACAAATACAATATTCCATGAAGTAAATTCTTCACTAAATCATGATATCAAATTTAAAGTAATTTCACACTAACTATCCCAGAAAACAGAACTTTAAACATGTTGACCTCAAATACATGAAACTGCCAAATTCTTAAAACTGGTACAACTCAAAGGTTATGACCTAGAAGTAACTTCAGGCTCTCTCCTTATTGATGGTGGTTTTCTCAAATGCCTGACCAGTTTAGTTCCACTGTACTCAACTACACTTCCACGGTATGTCATAACATTTCTGGAATGCATAAAGGCAAGGAAATAACACGAAAAATCTAACACTTTACAAATTAGTTAATACTACTTCTAACGTAGGCAAATTTGTCCAAGGGTTCCAACTTTTATATATGTATGCTTAACAAAGTACAAAAATAAATGTACTCAAAGGTAAAGTTCATGCTTATGCACCATGAAAGTTACCAGAAGTACCTGAAAAAGAGAGCACATTTAAGACATAAATCTCCCTCTAGGAAAGTGCAGTGTGCTCAACATAAGTGAAATTACGTCTCACTACAATACTTCAGTTTTCCAGTATCCAGAGCATCATCTCTGACCCATTCTCAGCTTCTGGCTACAACAAACCTGAGGAACTTAACTGTATTAACCAGAGCATATTAGTCCATAAGAGGCTTTAAAAAAAATTATTGTCATAGTTGTTTGAAACACAAGTTCGTATCTACAGATGTATTATTTTTTTTAATCATGAAAAAAAGTTTTTTAGTCTTGAACAACTGATCACAATCCAACTTTAGTAGGACTGACCTACTTCTGATACAGGATCTTCCACAGTTAGACATATGCAACCTGAAAGGGCAGGAGAGGAAGGCACCTAACCAAAATGTTCACTACTTTCACAAGATCAAGCTGCTTTTATGTTATTAACAGCAGAATGATCCACCCAAATTGATTTTAAATATTGACTGTTCTGATCTAAATCTGTATAGATGTAAAATAAACCCCTATGAACTGTATTGTTTGAACTTGTAAAATAAATCCCTATGAACTGTATTGTTTGAACTTCTCATCGCTTTTCAGAGAAAGAAAATATGCATGTTGCATGCGAACTAACCACATTTGAGCTTCTGCCAAAAAAAGTGAACTCCTTTAGATGCCTATGAGAGCAAACTAAATTCTTCTAAAAAAATTTTAACGCAAAACAATTTCAGTGTTTAAAAAACAAAGCTGGGTGGATTGGCTTTTTAACTTTGTTTCAAGCAAAAAAAGAGAATTGCAAGCACAAATAATTAATGTTACCTAATTTCTATCAAAAGCAACTACAGCGTGTATTAGTTATATAATCACTAGGTTCCAAGCCTGAAGTGAAAGGTATCATCGCTGGTGTTTCACTAAAAAGAAACCAGTAATGCTTCCACTACAATTATTGGAAAAAAATAATAAAAAAAATGCTTATTATGGTTGTCACACCTCCTCTCGTGTTTACCTATTCCCAAGCTCTTACACACTCACTGCTATGTTTTCCAAGTAAAATACTGGTGGCATTATAATGATGTTATAGATAGTTGCTAGTTTCCCTCCCAAAGTTACACCAGCACAAAACTCCATCAATCTTCCCCCTACAAATGGCAAAGTACAACTGCCCTTCAGCAGTTTCCTTCCTAACTCCAGTTGAACTGGTAACACGGACAAACCAGTCACAAACTGGTCACTAAATCCTGCTGCCCAGAAGTGAAGTTAGTAATGACAGTAGCAGGGGTGATATGCAGAACCTCAGCATTCCAAACAACTGTCCACACTGACCAAACAAAAGACCACACTGAAGATTTCTCATGTTTAAATGCAAAAGCTAATAATCTCTAGAATTTCTTACCAGCTCTCTCAGATTTTTCTTTCTGTTCTTTTAACTCCTCGCCTTTTGTTGTTACTTGTTTGATCCGAGTGCGCAGCTGGGCTATCTCTTCCTCTTTCATTTCCAATGTTTCATGCATTTGTCGCTTGGTCTCTGCAATTACCATGCCCTATGGAAAAGGTCCTTGTGATAAAAAGCTAGCAAATAAATAAAACATATAGCTGAAACAGTTTCAAACCAGGACATGATCCTTGTTAGGAATAAAGTTGAGTCTACTACAACAAGACCAGAGTTAAGGGCATTTTTCTATGTGAGAAAACAGAAAATGCTAACAGAAAGAAGATAAGAATACGGATTATTCTGAAGAGTAGCCAGAATTTATCGAGTGGTAAAAAAGTCCTCCACCAAGTATGGAACACCAGAAAACTTCTTCCTCCTGGTACAAATATTTCACTTTGAAATATGTGTTCTGTAAAAAAACCAAAATCAAAAGCATTGTAGCATGCATGCTTCTTCTTAAAAGAATGTGCACACATAATGAGTTTTAGTCATGTTACTTATTACACCACCAGAATCTAATTCGAATACCAAGATGAATTAAAAAAAAACCTTAAGAAACTACAAAAAAAGAGAAACTATTCATATTCCTAGGAAACTACAGTTACTTTTCCTTCATTGACCATTTTCCAATTCATACAGATTGCATATCATATTCAGTAGTGTTTGAGGGGGTTTAGTAGTTCTGTTTGCTTTGTTTGTTTGGGGTGTTTTGTGAGGTTTTTTTGGTTTTTTTTTAATACAGGAGTGTGTACTGACAACTGTATTCAGCATAACTGCTTCATCCAAAATATCACCAGCATTGCAGTACTAAGTATAACCTAATAGACAAATACCCTGAAGTATCTATACAATAAAATTGTGAGGTAGTTTAAATTATTTGCTCATTAAAAGATAAACCAAAGCACATGAGATGACTAGGGAACAGCTTCTAAGCCAGAAATTCACACAAAGAGTTTAAAGAAAATGTTCATTTACCTTGTCTTGTTCTAGCTGCTCAATCAAATTCTTCGCATCACGCAGCTGTGTAATCAGCTTAGTCTTCTCAGCCATCTGAAGGTCCTAAAAAAGAGACCCCAACCACAAGTTTAAAGCACTGTTATCTGTAAGAAGATACCTTATTCTGAGAACTAGCCTAGGTTTAGCTCTTATCCTGCGCTATACGCCTGAGAGGAAGAGCACAGAACAGAATCCAAGGAAATTGAAGTAGGCAGATCTAAAATTACTTTTAAATCCCCCAATGCCAGGCTGCCTCACGGCTTCCATAACAGTTCAACTATCTGAAGACTTTGTTAAAGGCTCCGCAGTTCTCTCATGTATATCAGAGCTGCTACAGTAAAATGGGCAAGAAACATGCCTAAGGTGCCTGCTCTATTACCTGCATCTCAGCAATAAACATAATTGCTCATTCCTGGCCTTATTCTAGAAAAGGTCCTTAGAATACTCAAGTCTTTCAGAGCCCTTTCAAACTGGGCTAGTGTCTGTCCCATTAAAAAATTTTAGAAATCTTGGAGTACTTAGTATGTTTTAGCAGATAGCCATAAAGTTATGAGCATTTTCCATACCTTCATTTTCTCTAGCTCCTGAAGTCTCTCTTCTAACTGTTCTTGCAGTGCCTCTTTCTCATTGGTTAATTGGGCACAGCGCTCCTTATGTGACCGAATCATCTCCTTACAACGTTGCAGCAAGTTCTCTTGGCGCTTCACCCGCTGATCAAGCATTTCCAGTGTTTTAACAGAATCTTCATTACCCTCTATGAGACAACATACCAGCATTATCATATGCATATCATTTCCAAAATGTAGATATGCATCATTCGCATTGCAGGAAACTCACAGGTCTCTAAGGAAATTTGTGCTAAGTTTGCAAAACTTCCTAGTGCCTACTATAACTGCCAGAAACATGCTTCACAAGCACAGAATAGCAAATACAGTCATCCACCTCAAATTAATTTACAAAACCTCAGTTACTATACAAGCTTCACAACCAAACTATTACTCAACAAGGTTTTCTATGCAAGAGAAAACACAAAACAAAGTGAATCACATCTGTGCCAAGCACACAGATTCCTGCTTCCTCAGGGCTGGGTAGGATGTTGATTCTAAAATGTGACATTTGGAAGGCTAAAGGCCACATTTAGTGTCTTTCTGAGCTATACTCTTCTTTGTATAACTAGCACATTGGGTACGTATTTTATTGCATGTTGTGCTCTGATGCTCTGGAGGCTGTAAATCTACTTTCATGCCTACTTGGCACAAAAATAGCATCAGACAAATTCAGAGGTTCAGTTCACAACTACAACCTTACAAGCTACAGTCCAGAAACAGAACTCAGCACAAGAAACATCCTGAAAACTGGTTCTTAGGTACCGGATAATTATTATTATTTCCTAAGCACTACAAAAGACATGACAGTAACAAAATCTCTGATCTAACCCCTCAGACCATCTTAACATACAAAAATCAGGGCAGATGCTGAACAAAGACGTGTGCTCCCCTCTGTCCGAAGCTCACCTTTTAAGTGAACCACACTTCCATCATATATCAGTGTTATAATGTCACTTGATCAGCAATCAAATATACACAGTACTAAGTCTCATAACTCAAAAAACTTCCTGATGTGATGAACATTTGGATTATTCAATAGCATGAATATCGAAATTCACCTTTTGTTTTACTTTTTCCCGACAAAGAAAAAAATCCTACAGGATCCTCTCCTCCAGGCATAGGTCCTTGCTTTTGGGGCACAGAATCTCCTAATCATATTAAGTAGGGATAGTAACAACTACTACTAGAAAAAGAAGTAATTACAATACTATAGTTAATGACAAAGGCACGACAGTAGATTTCAATTCTTATGAAAATCTAGTATCTTAGAATGGTTATTATCCTGTCCTCTAGCTGACACAGCGTTTTCAAACCCATTGTCTCCTTCGAGAAAAATATATTCTTCCTATGACATGTTCAGCCCTAAATATTGTTACTCCATCATAAATAACAGTAGGCTTATTTCTCCAAATTCAAAAAAGCTTTTAAAAGTTGCAATACCTACCATTGCTTCCTGGTTCCACGGTATTTTCCGTACTGATTTCTTTTGTTAGACTTTGAACTTGTGGTTCAGATTGGATATTTGGATCAGGCAAATCAGTGCCAATCTGACCATTCTGTAATCTCTGTTTCAGCAATGTTACCTAAAGAAAATGTTCTGTTTGTTAAAAATAACAAGTATTCTAAGTAGATCACATTTTCATCTTCAGAATTACAGTTAAGTAAAATTGATATCAGCAAGTCAAGAAAGGAAGAATCTGTTTGATTTCTTTTAACAATTTTAAAGATCAGAATTATGTTTCCAATTAACAAAACCAAAATTGTCATTAGTATTAAGCAAATGAGAATTAAGCAAACCACATAAATTTTGCCAAAGTTATTTTGGCTCAAACATCTATATTCTTGATAACAAAGGCATTACAGAGATATTTAAGTGCAGATCAAATAATCATATTTAATGAGTGAGATTTTACAAAGGTATCTTCTACCAGAAAGATTATATATATGCTATATATACCCTCAAGAAGCTTTACAACATCACAGCAATTATAGTAAAATATGGACACACATTATTAGAAATACCAAATTTTGAAGAAGTAGAAAAAGCAGTTCTAAACAAGAGCTGTTGGGTAACGTATCTTACCTGAGTTTGCAGAACACTGATAAGTTGATCTTTTTCCTCTAAGGAAGCATCAAATTCCTCTTGGAGATGTTTCTTAGCCTGCTGATCCATCTGGAGCTCCTGAGAATCATAAATGAACTCATCTCAATTGAAAATCGAAATGCAATTTTAAAAGGCTCACAAAATAATTACAAAATACTATTAAAAATACCTCTTCGCAGTTGTGACCCTAGAACACAACCATCAATTGGGTATCTCCTTTACAATACAATATTCTATAACATAAGAACATCCTACTACAATACCAGCACTAAAATATCAAGAGTCTAGATTTGATACAAAACTACCAAGGAATTACTTCTTCCTAAAAACAAGTTGGTGTAGGGATCACTTCAGGTCACCGTCCCGCACCCTCAGGGGACAGCTCCCAGCCCTTGTCTTCAGACCCACAACTGCAGGGAGCCAGTCTGCCTTCAGGTGCAAGTGGGACCTTGCCATGGTCTGGTGGTTCTTGCAGCCTCCACACCAGCGCTGCTGCTCAGCACAGAGCACGCCAAAACCAGGAGTGTAGGCACAGAGAAAGCCCGTGGCTCTAAGCGAGCCGCTACACAGCTCCCAAGCGAGGCAAGAGCACGGACAGACTCGCACACTCTTAACCAAACCTGATGCTGCACTGGCTCTTGGGGCAGTAGAAAGGTTTCAGCTTCACATGCTGCTTCTCCAGGGTTTGACAACACGGCTTTTGTGAACTTGCCCTTTTAATTTGCTCTGCCCAGTAATTTGTGCACATCTTTTAATTAAGCCCAAAGGGTTTATTACCAATACGAAATATATTAGAGCTTCTTTTAATTTCACTATAACCTAAAGAGACAATAATCATAACACAACCTACCTGATTTTATGACTGAAATCAAGCTATACTACAAATCCATAAAACCAATGTAAATATGTAACTGAGATCAAGATGTATATTTTTAAAAATTTTATCCTTTTTTTCACTGGTAGTCACTAAAATCTTTACTAAAAAATGCCCATTACCTGTATTTGCCTGACAGTAGTATTTTTCTCATTACTAGAAGAGCAACAGATTGCACTAGGACATATACTGTAGGGCAGGGCCCAACATTTCTGCAAGAACCACACACTTTTCTACCTACTTCAGAATAAACAGAAAAGCAGTTCAGTCAGTATGATGAGTGGCTCTTAAGCGTATGACAGTAAGCTGCCGCATGGGAAACAAGCCAGAGAAAGCATCACATTTTTTACAACTTATTTTCATTTGTTTAAAATGAAAATAAGCCATAAAAATCCTGCTATGCAATAGAAAACATTCCGTAAAATGAACAAAAATACCAAAAGCTAGGTGAGAAAGATCGTATGTATGTGTGGTATAAAGTATATATTCAATGAATAAAGAAAATTACCTCTCTCAGTTCTCCAATTCTGCGAAGTGCTTTATCCTGACTTTGACTCAGAATGCCCTTGAAAAAAAAAGAGGAGTAAATATCAGGCATCTTCAATTTTACAAATAAATTCATAGAACTGTATTTCAGCAGAAAAATTAACAAGTGAGATTCAAGCTTGATGTGTAAGTATCATAAGCTGGCAATCTTTCACCGAACTCAGCTGATGCAATAAAAGAGGTTGGAGTACAATAGCTTCACAGTCATTTTGTCAAACCAGTATTAGCTTGACTTCCTTAGCAATCCCAGCCAAGAAAGCATCTTTTCTTATGCACACAATGCACTGAAAATTAAATCCATACTTGCACTACATGTTTTAAGATACAGAAAAGAAATCATGTAAGAGAGGATGAGAAGTAATATTACCTGCAGTTTCTTCTTCTCCCGCTGGATAACCTGATAAGCAGACACTAGCTAAAACAGAAATCAGGTATAATGATGATAATGTATCCACTTATAGCTTTTAAAATTATTTGCTTAGCTCTATCATTATCTGCATTTTCAAACTCTTCACTTGAGAAAGCTCTGCTGACACAAACATACTTAAATTTCCTCAATGTTTCCTTTTTCCACTCAAAAAATATCTCTGATGTGTTAAAAAAATAAAGGCTACATGACCAAACAATGCAGTTACTCAGCACTCATCGACAACCTTCCCTTCCCTGAAAAGGCCTCTCATGCTTCAATACAGATGGTCAAAAATCAACTCCATCAGAAAGTTACCACCCAGACAGCTACCCCACAGGGATGCACACTTACAAGGGTACACAATTCAGAGAGCTTAAGCAACATTAATTTTACAATGAGTATGCATTAAAAAACCACACTTACAAATCGAGCAAAAAAAGTCTGTGTAATACTGAATGTTCTGTAGTACTCAATGTGCTTTGCATAAACCCAGCAGGCAAAGAAAGACTAGAAGTGGACAGTATTTCTCATTGTAAACTGACAGAAGGACTTAATGAGTAACTGCACAATTCAGTTTAATTAAAAATTTGATCACAATTGCCAAAGCTGAAGTAGCATAATGGCACTTGGAACTAGAATATTCTGTTTTCAAATTGCTAAAAAATTAAAGGAAAACAAAGTCAAAACATCAAAATAAGAAATCTGTAAAACAAAAGATCTTTGAATTCGTATTTAAAACAAAGCAGGATTTTTCAGAATTCAAAATTTACTTATAATTTCAAAGTCATACTTATTCTGCACTTAAAACTAAATCTACTACAGATGGTTTCCCTTAACATATATTTTGAGATGCTAACTTTGTATCCTACCTTAAATGAGAGGAAACACATACATTTTAAATACTTACTATATACTGAAACTACTTTCTTCCAAGCTCCAACAAAACAATTATTTCCAACTGAACTAAAAAAGCACACACAAAAACAGGAAAAAAACTCAAGCCTTTTCAGCAGAGAATGTCAAGACTTGCTGTGTAAATTACAGTAAAAAAAAAAAACCAACAACAAATCACCCCCCAAAAAACAACCACAAAATATCCCCAAAAACCAACCTACAGACTGAAGAATTTTCATTTTAGCCATACTGTTTATATAAACTTTCAAAAACCATCTTATTATACTAGCTGGAAGAGAATAAAAAATTAATGGGAGACAACAATTACCAAATGAATAGAAGACAACTGGTTTTTCAGGCATATGCTGAATATTGTAATAGGTGTATATTTATTTTAGATTCCAGGGACTTTGACACTAATGGCCAAAAGTCTACACGGGAACGTTGTCTTTGAGGGAAGTAAACATTTAAAGAACTGTAAAAACCTGTGCAAATGTCCAGGTTTTAATACAACACATACACGCATACTTAAAAAAATAATAATCCAACATCATCAATTGGAAAGCTTTACTTTTGCCAACAATTTGCAAAATGAGTACCAAAGTACTTCTATCATTGGTTTTCACTAAAATAGCAAAATAAATAATCCTGGATTAATTCCTTCCAGGAAATATCTAGAAATTATAGGGGATATAACTTAATTATTAAAAAATAAAATGCTTGTCCATTGCATATGCACGGAATATATGTTGTGCACTTCAAGAAGAAGTTTCAGAAGAAAAGTAAATTTGCTGTCATGCAAGTACAAGCCATGCTCACCTCTGTACTGGACTCTACGCCCTGCTACGGGCTTTCACCGCAGAAAGAGAAGAAAAGGATTTCCACATTTCATTACTAGAATTTGACACTTGACCTACCTAGGCCAAAAATAACCAGACACACAGTAATAATTTAACTTCCACGTTAGCTGTAAGTTGATCTACTACTGCAGTATCTGTTCACCTCATCTTTTTTCGCCCCTCCTCCAGGTCAGTCAGTCACAACATTGCTTACCTCAGAGTATTTTCCCCTGTAGTTGCCCAAACTGCGCTCCATTCTGCGCAGCCGCTGCAGCAACTGCTCTTTGCTGAGGCTGTCCACATTGCTCGAAGGCTCTTCTGTTTCGCTTTCAATGTCGGAAGGTGGATCAAAGGTGGGACCGGCTGCATCCAAGTCCAGTCGATTCAGTGAGTCTCTCGAAGAAGTTCGTACCAAGGACTCCTTAGATGAAGAGCGGAACAGGGACTCTTTCGCTGGGCTTCGAAACAAAGACTCTACGGAGGGAACTCGGAGCTGAAGCCTCTGGGCGAAAGACTGACTGTCACTCGGCTGCAAAAATTCAAAGCAAGTAATTACTTCAGCACTGCTCTTAAGTAGACAAACTAAAGCCCATGAAACAGAGACGTGACCTGGGCAAAGGAACAGCTGCTGCCTAACACATGCATGACACAAAACAGCTACCAAGCCCTCAAAAGTATCACCTCCTTGTGCAGAAAAATCAAGCATGCAGCTACCAGATGTGGGCAATTTCAGACAGCAACTAAGTCCAATAAATGATAGCCCTGATTTAGACTTCTGAAATAATGTATTTTTGTGTAACCCCTTTAAGAAATGAAGCATATATAAGTGAAGTAGTTGCATTTACTGTTGTCCCAAATAAACAAGTCAACTGTGAGACTCACTTCTTGCTGTATTAAACAGAAGACTGAATTAATCTCAAAGACACAAAGATATTTTCCTATGCTTAAGAGAACAAGTTTATTGTAGAAGTCCTTGTATGACAGTTCTAGTATATCACCTTAAACAGTTTTTTTCTTACTTTTATATTATTTTAAATGGCTTTACAATATTTACATAAAATACAACTACCAATAAGTACTTATGCTGTTCTAAAAAAAAATAAAATAAAAGAGGTTCTGTGCTATGGTACCACGTACTGCTGGTGCTACAGAAGCAATCTGAAAGCATGACCACCAGATGCCACCCCCACAATCAAATGCTGCGACACACATGGTAAGAGCTACTGCTAATCCCACTCAGTGAGCTAAACTTTTCTGAGACATATTACGGAATGACCTCCACCTTTTAGTGACAATTTTTTAAAGCCTATCAGTTCTTTTCCTATGGCTAGAAATTAGCCTTCTAGCCATGCAGTAAGCCCTCTACTTTTGAAAGCGAGTTTACCAACCCTGTACCCCGCGCTGTCTGTGCCCGTGAGCAATGAGACACACATCAACAGATATGTCTAACCTGTCGCTACAAAAAAAAAAATAGCTCCAAGCATCAGTGCCAACACTTAATACCAGCTAATGAGATTACACGTAAACAAAACATCCTAGTATCCCAACAGACAAGTACTTGTCATCCTTACTCCAGCACAAAGACACTCGCTGGGGACTTCAGCCAAGATAACACAAAGACAATGTGACAGTGAAAGAGGAAACATACCTGCGGGGAGGCTGGTCCACTTCCATCACTTTCTGTGGGTCTGGGAGCTGGTTGTTTAGTTAAGTTCTACAGGAGGAAAAACAATTCTTAGGCGGAATAGACTACAAGGACTGTAATGCACAGATTCCTACAAAAAGCATCTGTGTTTTTTCCTTGCTTGTGTTTTTGGTATTTTGTTTTAAATGTTTATTAAGATGTTTTCATGCAAACAAGCTAGTTTGTTAAATTCAAAACAGACTGCAGCAATATACAGAACTACGAAGCAGCTATGTGCGCGTGGATTAGTATGAGACATCTGCAAATGCCGATATCTCCAATTAAATTATTCATAATGATTATTTATGTAACACACATGCACAAATCATAGAAACACCAAAAAGACAAAATGATAGCAGGAAAAATCTAACTGATGGCCAGTGTTGTCTACAGTCAGCATGAGTAACAGTGCAACCACACTGTCCTTCTCTGTTTAAGTACATTTTGGGTGGTGGTGTGGTGCCTGGAAACAACCTGGGGAAAAAGTGCTGTTAACAGGTGGTTTAAGACTATGAACAAGCACAGGAAAAAAAGAAATCAGCCTTTCAGAAAAAAAACATCCTGTGCAAAACTTCATGCATACATTCCTCTGCACTCCCAAACAAAAGAAACAAAACCCCAAAAAGAACCTACACCCCAAACCAACACAATAGAATACAATAGCTTTGGTTGTTTTGGGGTGTTGTGGTTTGAGGTTTTTCGTTTGCTTTGTTTTTTGGAGTTGGGGCTTTTTGCTTTTTTTTTTTTGAGAGTTCAAACATTTCTGTTCCTAGTCTGCCTGTGCTCCTTTACTTATGCCCTGCGCTCAGGTGTTTTCTAACCTGTGCAAATCCAGATAGTCTTCTGGGGTTTAAACTAGGTCAAACCAAAAGAGCAAAACATGCTAGAACCATCTTGGATATGAATTCTTTCCATGAGAAGCAAAGCACTACAACATATTGAACAAAATATGAGGAATTCAGCTAAAAGCAGTGTAATTTTTCATTTTTAATCAACACGTACACTGATAGTTATATGCAGGCTGTAGAAGTGTATATGCAACTAAAATATGAATCGTAATCATCTATGTATCCCCTATGTGATCCCACTCACAGATTCTACACCGTGTGGATACACAGATAAGCATACATAAATAGAAATGTAGAAGAGTAATTCAGTCTAAATGGCTTCAGGAAGGTTTGATGTTGAGCAAACTTAAGAAGGTGAAAAATATCACTAAAGAAAGAAACACAGACCATAAAGGAAGCCAGAGAAGTGAGCAGTCACATAGATTCAGGCAAAATGAGCAATAACCAGCCATACAAGAAGTCCATTTGCATTCAGCTTTCACCACCCTGTTGTGGTGGATTTATTGCTTGTGGATTAGTAGCTCTTACTGGGTTTTAAACTAAAGCGCTCCTACATTTTATTTTCAGCTCCCCATTAGGTTAGGTCCCCATGTGTTGCCTGATCTAGTTGAGAGGCGTCCCTGCCCATGACAGGGAGGCTAGATTAAATGATCTCTAAGGTCCCTTCCAGCCTAGACCATTCTATGATCCTATTACTTGTTCTTTTTCATTTCCTAACTGGAAAGTTAAGAGTAAGGGTAATCCAAACAAAAAATTATCTCCTGGAAAGTTAAGAATAAGGGTAATCCAAACAAAAAATTATCTTCTGCTGCACAATTTATAAAGGATCTATTGTGCCAGTGCTGGACTGACAGAGGAAGAAAAATACCAAGAATTACAAACTAAATACAAACACTTCTTCTAAAAATTATGTATTGTGATACCCACAAAAAGAATTAAAGGAAACTATGGAGGGTTTGTACACTTAATCCATAGAATAATAATATTTAAGATCTATTTTAAAACACAAGGTTAAGTAGGATTTACTAAATTTAATAATGTGTTTATGAATATAAAACTCTGTTCTTTTCTCTGAAGATCCTTGAAAAGCTGCCATTTAAGGATGAACATCCTTAAAAATGACATTTCAAAACTAGAATTAATGTCAGCACTTTAAAATTCTATTAATTGTGCTGATATCTTTGTATTCAATCTGTGTTAACAAAAGATTAACCTATATTCGAGATCAGACTTCCTACTGGCATAAATCATGAAAGGGATAAACCAGTAATCTTTCATATAAAAAACAGACCACCACAGGTATCTAGCTTCTGCAATTCTAAGTCACTGTTTGCTCTAGGGCAAAGGGTCACATTCTGGTTTCCACACAGTGAAAGGCAAGCATGAATGGAAGTTTCATGCAAGTACGAACTCAAGAGGCTTTGAAGAGATAAAAGCCCCAGCCCTTCATAAGCCTTAAGAGATGTTTCAGCAAAACTAGAATCACTGAGCACGGGCTGGCGTTTCGTAAGTCTTAAAACCAGCCAAGTTACATCAGGGATTCTGGAGACCAACGCAAGTCTTTCCTCCATGATCCCAGCTATATCTCTATCCAAAGAGAGCAATACTTAAAATCTCTAATAAAAATGTTGGGGTTTGTATTAAGATGTGTAAACAAGAGCTCAGCTTCTACTGGAGCACAGTAGTGCATTCTACTGACACTTGTGTTTCGCTACTTCCTTGGTTTTGCAAGGCAAACTAATTCATTTATTTCTCAAAGGTATAATTAGATTTGTAAGCCTAAAAGTCAAAGCTTAAATGATGGCATTTAAAAACATTTTACTGCTCTCCCTCCTCAGGTATTCCAAAACCAAGTAAATTATGGAGGAGGCAAGGAGAGATTAGTACACATTTTCTTCCCCCATTTTTATTTTTCTTTAAAAAACCTCTCTGTGCAAGAATATTTTAGCTGTTTCTTGATGCAACAAATCCCATGCAGCGTAGTTATATACAAAGAATTTATACAAATTTCATCTATGCCAAAAAATCTGCAATTACAATCACTTCCCTATGATGCTCATTCCCTTGGATCATACATCACTTGCACACACACAGTGAACACATTTGTCTCTTTTAGTCAAATTAATACATATTTGTGTGCGTTGATAAAACTTTCCCTGTCCTGCATCTTTACCTAGGTCTTCCAAACACGTATATTTTTAATATATATTTGAATAGAAGTAGCCCTCCTCCTCTCTGTAAACTTTCCTATCATTTTTCCCCCCCCAATTCTGACTGTGAGTACAGCTCTAGAGCTTTCAAAAAATTCAGAGAACAAAATCAGTTTTAGAGGTAATGTATTATTAATACTCATTGGTAACAAATTAGCAATAACTTACATTATAATTATTTGCTATGTGTGCCGTATTGTACACAAATATGCAAGTCTGAAGCATTTGAGCATTCACAGAAAATGTTTTCCAGATGCAACTGTAGTGAGGGATATTTTCTGTATTGCAGTGGAAAACAGCCAACAAGTGTTCACTGCTGTAAATGCTGAAAAGCTTAATTAACTTTGCAGTGAAACTTTAAGTAGTGGTCACTGCATCTGGAGTATGGCCAAAAATACCTAGAACAGGGAAAAAAATACTATGATCTAGTAACTATTTCAAAACTACGTATTTCAACATAGTCTGAATGTCATCTTTGCTCCCCATCAGAAAGCTCAATGTTGAGAACACTAAGACTGAGCTAGTAATGAATGTGTACTCTAAGGGCATGCTCTAAACAAGCACAGCCCTTTACAACAAATGAAGACTTTCCCCAAGTCACATTTTTAATTACCATTTCAGTCCAGTCTTGCTTAACTTGAGAGATACAAGCCCAACACAACACAGTGTGTTGCACTGTGTCCCTCTGCTTATCCAATAACACTCCTGTTAACAGCTTTCAGCCATGAGTCATTTTCAGCCTCTGCACCAGCAGTAAAGTACTTGTTGAACTGTGAAAGAAAAGCAATCATGAACCATAAGGGTGAGCTAGGACTCTAAAAAACACTGTGTTTTGTATCACTAGGGACTCAGGAATTCCATGACTCTGAAGTATGTGAAAGATGCCATCGCAGTCCTGTGACAATAATGAAAAGAATACAGCTTTGTATATATGTATGTTAGAGAAAAGTCTGCTTTCCTCCCTGCGCCTGCTTCTTTCTCTCCACTCCTTGCTCTCTTCTTATTGACCTTCTCTCCTTGTCTACTATGAAAACAGCATTTCCAGGCAAAGAAATATATACCTAAAATAAAATTTAATTATTAAAGAAAGACTATTTATACCCAAAATAACAGCTGCCAGGTTACCAGCTAGAAATAGCTGAATTTCAGTGTCTGTGTGAGATAATTTCCTGCTACCATTAGTAGTAAATGACATTGTGAGGCTTTCACTGTACACAGTAAAAAGCATATAATTTTTAGACAAAAATCTCAATGTTTATCATATCCATTCACCCTCAAATACATAAAAAAATACATTAAAAAATACATAAAAATTGGGAGGAAGGCTTTCAATGGTATTAATAAATTCTAAGCAACAAATGAACAAACTTGTGCAACAATTATTTAAAAGTTGTGTAAAGTATGGTTACCTGTTCAACAGAAAACATGTTTTCTATTTTTTACTGTTGCAATAAATTCACATCATACAGCACACCAGCCAGGAGCTACCAGGTTCTACCTCTGTGAAATTTAGTGCAGGGTTAGCAACAGGGTAGTTAGGAGAGATGTCTTTGTGAGAACAAGCCACACGCGACACTAGGTTTGCCTTCTAGTACAGTACTCTCCTCCTCCTGCTAAAGGCATCACTAAAGAGGGGTGGGAGGACTCACCACACCGTCACTCTGTGGCTTAGGTTGTTTGGTGGGATCCAAAGCAAAGATAGTATACTCAGAGAGAAAAGCAGGTTCTGCTATCATCCCAGCTAGCAGCTGTCATTCAACGCAAAAAGTAGGAAAACAAAAATAAATCAAGTAATAAGGTAAAGAACGTTGCATGATTTCAGACAATTTTTCCAAACTATTAAAAACATCATAAAACAATATAGCAATTTGTGAGATAATGATATTGATAAAGGCAGGGCATAACCAAAAAACATGCATTAGATTGCTTCAGAATAGCCAAGAAAATCACAGTTTTGATCATTTAGAAGCAA